GAATTCTGGGAGTTGAAGTCCACCCATCTTAAAAGTCGCTGAGGTTGAGGAACCCTGATTTAGACTTATAATCTAGGAAAGATCTAGAGAAAGCAATAGCCCTGCAAGTCCAGAGAACCCTAGAGGAAATGGTATTTAGACTTTTGGTAGCCAGGTTACAGGCCACACAGGAAACTACATTGGCTGCACTTGTGGATGACATGGAGAGACTGGAATTGGGGGAGTACATCACTCCTGTTCCAAAAAAGTTATGATTGAAGATGAGGGTTGCAAGTTCATGACTTCTTTATTTTCTGGTTTTTATATTTTTGATTTTGTTATTTTTACTTATTTATATATTTGGGGCTATTTTTTTTTTCTTTTCTGGATGTCATTTTCTTTTATGATGAGATTGTTAACCACCCCGAGCATCTGGGAATGGATAGTATACAAATGAAGTAATTAAATAAACAAACCCATGTATTATGGATTAGAACAGAAGATAATGCAGTGTCTTGGACAACAATGTTCAGCCAGCTGCTTGGTCCTAATTATCTTTAAAACAAAGCTCCTTAAAGAGGAAAGGTAGGATGTTGCAAAGGAAAGCAATTTAGCTTCATCTTTTAGCGCAGCAATAGGTTTGGGCCCTAGGAAGGTCTTTCTGGTAAATGTATATTTTGTGACTAGCAGAAATTTGTGAGTATGATGATGCATACTCTCAAAATTCCAAATGTGTCTCCAACCCTTAGATTATGGTTATGTACAAACCATGATTAAAAGACTCCTTGCTTAGTGTGAACCAGTTACTATCTTGCAATCTGAGTGAATTTAATATACAATTGCAAATAATATAAAGTTTAAGTCCTAGTTAACAGAACCGATGTGAGTGATGCTGGAACTAGCTGCCAAGCATACATTGCCCAGCCTTATTTTACATCTTTCTGTTGAATAGGAGAGAATCAGCCCTGCTGAAAAATTGCTGGAAAAGATTATTATTTTATAGTACGCCTGGTACTTTGTACAGAGTAATAAAATAAGGCAGTAAAGAAAATGTACAGGGACAAATGTTCACAGAGGTAGACAGAATGTCACACGTGTAGCAAATGTCTTATCGAACAACTAAAGCTCTAATCCAGCATGTTTCAATCTGTGTTCTGAGGAGCCCTCGCTGAGAAAACCTGAAAAGGCAGGCACACTTTTCTAAAAACACAGTTTGCCTGGTTCTCTGTGAATCTTTCCTAAAATGTTTAGCCAGAGGCTATTCTAAGTCACTACACTTGAAACAACACTGGGGAATAAGTTGCAGCCCCAGGTTCCTCACCCTGGAATGAGGCAATAACGCTGGAGTTCCCCCTCACTACATTCAGAGATACACAGCTGGAGATGGCAATTTAGATAACTGCCTCCAGTGAAGGAGCCTGAAAACAGAAGAGAGATTTCCGTTTTTAAATCTAGACCACTGAAGGAAGAGGAAATGAGCCACAAGCAAAGGAACTTAAAAAATCCCCGCAACTCCCAATGTCTGACTACTGGCTTTGTTGGGCCTGATGGATATTGGATGGGAATATCTGGAAGGACTTGAGGTGGGGAAGGCTTTCCTTTAGGATGGTGGAAAACTAGGAAGAGAAGAATAACTACGAGTATCAAAGGCGGGAAAAAAACCCCAATTTTTAAGAAATCTTGGGATTTTCCGTTGTTACAACCCATAATATGCAGTGCATGCAGTGGGGGTTGCTTTCATTTAAGCTTCCTTAAACTAGGCCTGTTTTTCTTGCACATATCTTGCTCTCATCTAGATGAATTTAATGCAGCATCCTCTAGTTTTCTAAGTATCATTTTCTCAAAGGAAATATTTTACTAGTATGTTTCATTTTTCAGTTAAAGGTATAACTATCATACATTTAGCATTTAGGAATGGTTTACTCTTTAAAACTCCCTTTACTAAACCAGTAAATGTGGCCAAGTTATATTGAGTGTTGTAGCTGATGCTTTAGAAAATTAGCCAACGGCTCAAAGCAGCAAGTGCATCTCAATCCTTACTCATCACTTCCAGCATATTAAACCTCTTTATATGGGCATATATCTTTCACTAGTTAAATATCTCATCCATAATTCTCAAAATCAGACCAGTCCCATTATTTATTTATTTATTTATTATTATTTTTTGCAATCTATTGGGGCAAAGAATCCAAAAGTGTACACTTACCGCACTGCAATTGTCAACATCGCTCTTAAATAACTCAGCAGATCCAGTATTATTGAATAACCCACAGCAATTTAAGTTGTTTTCCAATGATACCCTGGTGTTGTCATTCAATAATTTCCAGGCACTGCTCAAAAGACTTTCCTAGTAGGAAAGAGAGAGAGAAAACTTTGAAAGTCAATATCATAACATGAAACTTTCAGTGACGTGAGATGGGACCTCTTAATTCCTGTCCACATAGCCAAGGAAGCTGAATTTTTATTTTCTACTGACTTAGCTACCTTGATGGAAATGTCCATGAAGCAGCAACTTAGTCATATTCTCCAACCTGTCTCCCTCCTGATGCATTGCACAACTCCCAAGTGGTACAGCAAAAGGAATTCTGGGAACTGCCTAATATATCTGAAGAATATGATGTTAGGGAATGCTTGTACAAAATATAAATTTAATTAGATTAAATAATAGAAGTGCAGTTAAATGAAAAGAAAGTGCATTCAGTGGCTGTGTTTGTTCCACATGCTAGACTAAATGCAGTTCGGTAGTTTATTGTTTGGTGTGTTGTGGGAAGTCAGCCATTATCTTAACATGTTGCACAAACGAGCAGATCACATAAAGCAATAATGTGTATTTATTTGACCACAACACATTTCATGACTAGAACTACTGTATTTGCCAGCCCAGATGTAGGATTCAGGGTATTGTGTGAACACAGCCAGCATGCAACAATGCTAATGGGAAATGCTATTTATTTATCGTATTTTCAAATTTATGTATACCACCCATCTCACTATACAAGTGACTCTAGGCAGCATCAATATCTGCTTGAAATGCTATTGGGAAAGGAAGAGAGAAGGTTCAGCCTACTATTCTTTCCAGCACCTTGAACCCTTGCTGGAAACTCAATGGTATGTATAAAAACTGGATGGACCATTAAACAGCTATACTATTGAACTGAAGGACACGCTGAATACCATCCCCCGCAAATGGAAGATTAATACACTGCTTGGACCAACAAAAAAGTCATCCTGTTGCTGGGCTTGGAAAACAAAGAGGGAATTTACCCTTTGCTTGTACCACTGTTGACCCAACAAGAAGGATGTTTCCAACAGTTCCCTTCCTTATCGGTTTGCCAAATCCCAGTTTCTACATACAGTATCTCCATTTGTATCAGAGGTCTAAGAGGTTAAAGCAATTGGGGTGCAAATCATAAACTCCACCTGATCCCTGGATTGGGACATCCTGCAAGTTGCTCCATTTCTTGTTCTTTTGTTTGTTTGAACAATGGGAATAAGCATTAAGGCCTTGTTTTGAAAGTAAAATTTGCTGTAATGCAGGCTAAATATGCCAGAAAATCTGAATGAAACTGAGGCAGAAAGGCAGACTTACCTGCTTATGTGTCTTTAGTGCCAGGCATGCACAGGAAATTCCAAACTGGAAAATAAAGATTAGCCCTAGGATTATCATATACTGAAGAAAAGATGCAATTAAGGAAAGTCTTGGGAAAAAAATATAGTTTGTGAACAGCAAATCAAACTGAGGTACAGATAAATATTTACATGAAGAAAATTAACAGGAAGTAAAATACCCTCAAAAGTAATATAGATTCTTCCAAGATGGCCACAAAACTGGGAATACTTTTTAAAGATTGGGAATTAGGAATCCAGGTATATAGGATGTTTCAAACAATCAAAGCTGTTGTACGTGAGGAACTATTTGTTCATCTAGCCCAGTGTGCTAATCTAAGCAACAATGGTTTTTCAAGGATGACAGCAAGAGAAGGATCTTTCTTCCCTACTCAAGATCTTTTAAGTGAATTAGTCAATAGTAAACTACTGTACTGTATCTCTTAATCAATGATGGATCTTATACGTAAATAAGAATTAAAATCCAGAAACCAATCCAGACTATGCAGCTGACATTTTCCTCTCCACCATTATTGCAAGAGAAAAAGGGATTAGCTTTTCTAGAACCCTTCAGTATACTCCATTCTTGGATGACTATTGCTGCTCAACTCAAAGGTGACTATTTTTGGCTTAAAGTACAATTAAATCTGATGTGTCAGAGATGTCTTAGAACACACAGCGGCACTGACTGTTATTTTCTGCTGCCTTACATCAGTATTTCTCATTTCACGTTTCCTGGGCAAATAAGGAAACTGCTTGATACCACTCACACTGCCTGTCATTCATTCATGAGCAACATAACTCTGTTCAGAAATCCACAAAAAATAGAAATTGCTGTAAGTGGGGGAGTTTATTATGATAAAACAAGGTGAATGATGTTTCTTATGCAGATTTTGGATGGTCAGCGACTTGCCACAATGTTTCAAAAAGTCTCCTCTCGGATTTTTGTGGTTTTAATAATGCTGACAACCACCTCGGCACACAAACACGAAGACCCTGAAATACTCCGAAATGACGATGAGCAATAGAGCTAGTAACATCTGCTCTGTTGAAGTCATCCTCCTTTCCCTAAAAACAAAACAAAAAGGAAACCACCAACATTTCCACCTAACAAAACTGTATCACTCAGAACACCGCAGCTCAGGAGTCAGCCTGGATTCATATGTTGTGTTAAATTGGCTTGGCTTCCACAAAGCACAAAGGCAGGAGTGTAAAAAGTGCAACCTATGGATCAAATGCAGCCTGTCAGTCCTCAATGGGCAGGACCAAAAATTAACTCATTGTTTTGCAATTTTCAAGTTGGGAGAATTTAAAGGATCGGTGCTTTAAAACTTGCAGAGGCTTAAGACACTTATCTCACCTCTTAAAAATTCAGCCACTGTCACCAAAAATCAATCCCATTTTTATTCTGGGTCCTAGCTACTTTTGGACAGGGCCTTCCAAAGCCCGATGCAGCCCTCAAGTGACATCAGTTGTGCATCCCTACATTAAACTATAAACAATGGTTTATAATCTACAATGACTGGGTTCACACAACTTGCTAAACCAAAACCAAACCAACCACACTGTGGTATTGTGTGAACTCTGCCTCAGTCTCCTTTTATTAGACCGTTTACTGAAAAAGAGCCTTCAACGTAACTTAGCAAGCTATGCTGCTCTCCTCCACCCCATTACTGTTGAGATTGTGTCAACTGTCCTCCTCATAACCTGTAGAGCGTAGCATCTCTTTACGGATGACATGACAACATGGTTTCTTTTTTCTTTTTTTATAACCCATTAATCAAGAGTATCCGTATCAACAATCTGCTACTACTTGAACCAATATATCAATCACTGAGAGAAAGTGCTAAAATCGTGTAGGGAAACCTCTGCCTCTATGCTCAGGCTAGACATCATACTTTCTCCCACCCTATCATCAGAGGCCAATGAGCAACTTACAAAAATTCACCCCTACTAAATCCTTTACATATTCAGCAACACCTTAGCACAACTGATATTGGCACAGTGGATAGAAGGTACAAGAAGAAAATTTCATCCCTCATCTTATTTATTTTAGAAGGCTACCCAACTCCAGAAGACTCTGGACATCATACCACATTAAAAGTCATAGAACCAGAAAATAATAATAATGTGTGTCCCAAAAGAAAATATTCAGCCACCATATATAATCCTAAAAACAGGTTCACCATCCATCCTATCCCAAGTACACTACCAACTTCTATTCAGTAAATGTGCCCATATAAATATGAAAATACATACAAGGAACAATCCAGCTTTATCACTAGAGATTATATAATCTACATTCTGGCATCTGACACACCCAAAGTGGATATGACAATTTAGGGTACAGTAATATAAAAATGGATGGAGAAGAAGAGACAATATAAAAGCATTAAATTCAGGAAAAGTTTATACCTATGTAGCCAGAATGACAGTGAAGTTGAACTAATTACTGGTGGTTATTTAAATATGTCATCCTGAACACTTACCTTAAACCAGTCAAATTATGCTTTTTTAAACAAATACACCATTTTATTTTAATGGTGTATACCTCAACTTTTGCCTCCGGCAGATCATCATGACAAAGGAAGGACTAGCCTGAACCTATCCACTATTCAGAGATGGAGCAACTTCAGAAAACTTGCTTTCTGCCTCCCTGCTAGAAAGAATAATTACAAGAATTTTTTCCCCCAATTCCCTTTCCTTTTATTGCAATTTTTCAGATTGTGATCTTTTATTCTGGAAGTCTATGGGATGGGACTGACAATACAGGTATTTGTCATAAACATAAAATTTACTTCTGGCCTCTTTTGTCTAAGTTTACATGCATTGTTTTATAATGTAATAAATTTTCTGCTGTAATGTTCTACATTTGTACACAGACACAGATTTATAAATCAATTTATATATACAGGACTGTAATCCTATCTTAGTATAACAATCAGAGGGTTGGAAGGGACTAGATCATAATCAAATTTTGCCTGAGGGCAGGACTTTTTACTAGTCATTTTCATCAACAGATTCACACTTTCCACAGCATGCTGAAAACAGAAGAGAGCTCTTGGAGCAGAGCCTTGGAATTAAGGCAATGCCAGCTATTATTCCCAATAAAGAAGAAAAACATTATCTATTTGGTAGTCCTTAATATCCCAAATGAAAGTGAGAAAAACTTATAAGTATATTTCACCAACATATCTACCTTCCTCCCCAATCCCCTAAATCAGAGGTGAGGAACCTTAGCTCTCCAACTCCCATCAAACATAGTGGTGGAAGATGCTGGGAATTGTAGTTAACTACAATTTTGTCTAAAGAGCTACAAGTTCTCACTTTTAACTTAGGCAGCCCACAATATAATAACTGGCAAGTACAACTCCAGTCATGCCAATAACAAGCATGGTGGAATCCTCGTGTATCTATTTTTGCATGGCAGACTTCAGGAAGCAGGCAATACGTTCTGCTTTGCCAGTAGCATAGAAAGATACAAAGAAAAGCATGACTTGGTGATGGTTGATAGCACCAATGAGTCCCACGATGGCGATGAGAAGCAGGAAGAAGCCCACAGCAATGACCCCTCCGATGATGTGGAGGCTGGAAACTATGCCAAATCCTTTACCCCAGGCAGCCACGCCAATCAGTAGTAGACCAACCAGCTGGAAAACAAGAAAAATTTGGGTTGGAAGGAAGATGGAAAAGTCAGAAACACAGAAAACAATTCCAACCTACCTAGCTTTTCTCTTCAATAAAGTGCATTAATATTCATTCCCAAATGCTACATATTATACCGCAATTGCTGCCTTCATTTCAGCTCCTGGAGCTCAAGCATTGTATTGCATTGCATCCATTAACTAGTATTGTTTGGATTACAAATCCATTTAACCCAATTCTAGTGAATTGGTCTGAATGTCTGCTCAGTAGCATCACCATCCTACTCTGCAGTTAATGACGAGGCTTTCTCATCAACCAGGTCATGGAAAAACTGTCCACATCATATAAAAACAGTTTTAATATATTACAAAATTCCCACAATATTCTAGGAGTCAAAGAGATCTGAAATGAAAACAGAGATTTTTTTTTCTCAGCTTCTTACTGTTCATTCAAAATACTCAATGCCAAAATTAGATACTACATTCTCTCCCCTCTAATGTTGCCTTATTTTACATTTATTGTAGAACATCAAAGTGAGCTCAAACAGAGGGAAAAAAGTAGAAGAGTTTCTCCCTGTGCCATTACAACAGAGCGATTAAGAAAGTGACTCCTCACATTAAACAAACTTATATACAACACTTTGATTTGGATAGGCTTATCAGCATCCATAAACCCATATATTAAGTTACATTTTCACTGAACTACATTATTTTTAAATTATTCAAAATGGCTCCAACCCAATAGGATATAGTTAGACAAAGGCTGGCGAGTCATTTAGAGCCATAATAAAGTTATTATCCTGAGAATAACACACTCTGACATTTTACACTATTTGAATATTGTAATTGCTCAATTCTTCCAGTATCTTAGCTTGCTTGGTGTTAACTTCCAAGACTGAAGGATTCCTCCACACCCTTTCTCAGTGTACAGGGGTAAGAAGCTTTTTGATTTATACAAGGAGCAACCAATAAGTGCCAAACCCAGCCATTCTTCACAAAAGAGAGGAAAGAAGGAATTACAGGTAGTCCTTGCTTACTGACTTTGTTCAGCAACCATTCGAAGTTATGAAGGCACTGAAAAAGGAGATTTACAACTGGTCCTCGAAGTTCCGGCTGTCGCACCACCTCCATGGTCACGTGATCACAATCTGGGCACTTGGCAACTGGCTTCACTTATGACAGTTGCAGCATCCCACAATCACGTGATCATCATTTGTGACCTCCCCTGCTGACTTCCCACAAGCAAAGGCCGTAAGTTGCTCACACCCTCCCCAGCTTGGCAGCAGCCTCCCTGCCCCATCCGCACTTGCGCCTCAAAGGCCACTTGCACACCCTCCCTCACCCAGCAACAGCCCCCCCCCAGCCCCCCTGCACCTTACCTGCCTGCCAGCCTGCTTGCAAGCCACCTGACTCACTTAATGACCCTCAATCCTCACTTAATGACAGCAATGGGGAGTGTCGGGATTGCCATCGCTAAGCAATGAGGTCACATGACATCACACTTTACAACCACATTGCTTACCAATGGAAATTCGGTCTCAATTACCACTGCTAACCGAGGACTACCTGTATTTCATACTCAATTTCAAATGCTTTCCAATATAAGCTATATAAATTTGTTTTTAACCACAAAACCTGTCCAGATAAGGAGAAAGGACACAAAGTAGAAATGTGACAAATGCATTTCTCAAACAAGGTTGCCAAGTGCAAGGTCTCTAAGTACATTCAAAGAGAAAACATTGGGGGGCATTGCTAAGATGTGTAGGTCCAGACTTGCCATAACAAGGACGGCACTGTCCAGCTATAAAGACAGAATTATCATTACCTATATAATGTACTTACATAGTTTTAAAAAATATATTGTCAGCAGAAGTCAATTCAGAAAGTTTTATAGCACTGCACTATAATCAGGTCAGAACTCAAACTCAGAAGGGGCCTCTGCAAAGAAATAGGTGCAGCTATTCAGAAGGGTGGAATTTGATTCATATGGTGGGCTAGGGACCTAGTTTAGCTTCAAGGGCAAAAGTGGCTTTCAGTACAACCATTTCCTTTTCCTTTTAAATATAGTACAATTCCCATACAATATGGTTACAAAAGATATCTGAAGTACCTCAATGCCTAGTAGTGGTAAAATAGCTAAACCCTATCCATGGATTTCCAAACTATAACAGCTGTCCTGCACCTCTTCTAAAAAATAAGACTTTCTGGAAACTTGTCCCATCTTTCTCTCTCCATTGGCAACTCTCTCAACAACTGGTGGATATTTACTCAAATGATATTGCAGATTTAGTAAAAGTCGATATAATTAAGAGGAGTTAAATACAAGGAAATCTATTTTAAAATGAAAGACTGCTTTCATTTTACGTTGCAAAAATTAATGTTTGAATTTTATTTATTTATTTATTCAATTTAAATTACTGCCTATCTCACCTGAGTGACTCTGGGCAGCTTACCTAATTAAAAACAAAAATTAGAAATAAAACAAATGCCATCAAATCCAATTAAAACAGTTAATTAAAACAATATAATTTGTGGGAGAGTACCAATAAATTACTAACAATGCAACCAACCAGCAGGATCAATACCGCCACTGGACTCCCTGGCATGATGACAGAACCATATCTTAAGAGCCTTTCTGAAGGCCAGCAGGTCAGGGCTAATCTAACCTCGGGGAAAATGATGTTCCAAAGGGTGAGTGCCAGGCAGAAAAGGCTCTCAGATGACATTTCTTACTGGACGGGACCCTTAACATGCCTCTCCTGCCAGACCTGATGGGACAGATAGATGTAACTGGGAAGAGGCAGTCCCTCAAATAACCTGGCCCCATGCCATACAGGGCTTTAGGTCATTACCAGCACCTTGAATTGAACCCAAAAACTGGCAACCACTGCAGCTCGCAGAGCAGAGGTATAAGGTGTGCTGAACAAGGAGCACCCATAACTGCCCATGCTGCTGTATTTTGCACCACCTGTAGCTTCTGGATGCTCTTCAAGGGCAGCCCCATGTACAGCACATTACAGTAATCCATTCTGAAAGTGACTAGGGCATGAGTGACCGAGAGTAGAATGCCATTGGCACTTCGCCCATCTTTCCCATTGTTTTGACTGAAATATAAACACAATATAAACAAAGGTAGCTTTAGAAATTCATTTTCAAATTCCATTTGTTTAAATCTTAGATGTTAATACGTATCCACTAAGCTCATGTGTATCTCACATGAGTACCAGTGTATGAAGGTGAACATATATACACACACTTGAGTCATTCATATGACTCCTGAACTTTTGGATCTACCTGGGTAAGGCACTTGCAATGGGAGTTCAGCCTGCCAAGGATCCCCTAATCAAAAGGAGGGAGACAAAGAGTGGCTTCCCATACATAAACATCTCCCTTGACATTCCACACCCAAAGACAAAGCCCTGAAAGTCTTCCAGGCAGAAGCAAGTCTGAGTTTGAAGGAGAAGCTATTATAGTTCCACAGGCAATAGGAGCAGGAGCAACTCAGGGGAATCTTGCTTTCTAGTTGCCAATACTGGCCATCTTTCAACCATTAGGATTAATAGATTAACCATCTAGCCTCATCTGTTTTGGGCAGGAAGGTAACAAGGATAGGGAAACAAGGCCTAAAAAGAAAATGTGGAAACCAGGTTTTGTTTAAAGCGGGGAAGCTTAAGAGACACAGTAACGTTTTTTTAAGCATTACACAGGACTATTATACAGAAGAGAGCAAAGACTTATTCTATTTCTGTCCAGTCTCTAACCTTCCTTTTTTAAGGAAGGTTGTTGAGAAGGTGGGTGGCTTGGTGTTCCAGAGGGCACTCAAGGAATCAGATTATCTGGACCCCTTTTAAATCAGGATTCAAACTTGGTTTTAGCACTAAGATGGCACTGATTATGCTTGTCAACGACCTTTGGTGTGCTCGAGATGGGAGCAGTACACCTATCCTGGCCCTCCTTGATCTCTCATCAGCTTTCGATATCATTGATCATGGTATCTTTCTGGACCAGCTCAGGGGACTGGGAGTGGGAGGCACAGCACTGAAGTGGTTTTCCTCCTTTCTCTGGAACCAGTTCCAGTTGGTGTTGATGGGACGAGGAAGGGGGAAGATTGAGCCTGATGCCCCAGCTCCTCAGGGTTCTACCCTTTCCCTACTGCTGTTTAGGATCTACATGAAGTCGCTGGGGAAGGTTATCCATTGACACAGGGTATATATTGTGTCATACTGATGATACCAAATTATACATCTCTGCTCCAGACTGATTAAGTGATGCCATCAAGGTTCTTTCCCAATGTCTGGAGGCTGTGGGGGGTGGGGTGGGGAAGAATAGGCTTCAGTTCAACACTGGTAAGACCAACTAGCTGTGGTTAGCACCCTAACCCTCCAGATCCTGAGACTTTCCATCCCTGGCTCTGAATGGGGTTGCACTCCCCAGACAGAGCTGGTTTGCAATTTGGGGATCCTCCTGGACTCAGGGCTCCTGCTGAAAGAGCAGAAGGCTGCCATGACTAGGAGAGCCTTTGCACAGCTTTGTCTTGTGTGCCAATTGCACCCATTTCTGAATTGAGAGGCTCTATTTACAGTGACTCATGCCTTAGCTACCTCCTGGTTCAATTACTATAATGCGCTCTATATATGGCTGCCTTGAAGAGCTTTTACAAGCTGCAACTAGTCCAGAATGCAGCAGCATGGGCTCTTTGGGGCATTCCACAATATGCTCATGTAACACCTCTGCTCCATGAGCTGCATTGGCTTTCAGTAAACTTCTAGGTACAATTCAAGGTGCTGGCTATCGCTTATCAATTCCTACATCACACAGTGCCAGCTTATTTCAGGATCATCTGCCTGATTGTCTCTGCTTACCCCCGAGAATTGGCAAGGTTGGCATGCTCCATGTCCCTTCTATTAGGCAGTGTCACCTTGTGGGATCTAAGAGTCATGCCTTCTTCTGTTTCAGTGCCTGTCCTACGGAACAGCATCTCTCTAGGATCTGGATGGCCCCAACTC